TCAGTGGAACAAGTGGAGATATTTTATGGAAAGTGCAGATTCTAAAGCTTCAACCATACCACATTTGTTTTTGTTAGTAGAAAAGGAGATCATGAATTTGAAGAAGTTATTTTTGTGCATATAGTCATTTTACAGAAAGAAAAAAACATCCTTTACATTGTCGCCACGTTTTCGTCCTTTGTTGAGATTAGTGATGGGAAGTTCATTCATTTTACTGTTGGAATGGTTCATTTTAATGATTCATATGTCTAATTCAGTTGATTCATTTTCTTGCCGGGATCTGGCGCTGTGGAGCAGGCCGACTCAAGTATCAAGCCTATTCTCTATTAACAGGAACCGCAGGCTTGATCAGGAACCACCACAGTGTCTTATTATATTGTCTTTCAGCTCAGCGTGTCTAAGAAACACATAGAGTAAAATAAAATTTAATTCCAAGAGGTCAGTTCTAATATATTTCTCATATGTGGTGTATTGCATTATGATTCTATGAGGTTCAATTGTTAAAGATTATTATTGGTTTTTTATTAGATTTAATCAGTCTATAATACAGATATAAAGGTCCTGCAGAAACGTTTGAATGATACATTGAACAGAACCGGTTTAAAAGAATGATTCACTCACAAATCAGACATCAGTAGTTGAAACCATACCATAATCAAAAGTGCAGACTCAAACCATGTAACTAGTGTAGCAAAACAATAATAACTCTCAGCTTCAGTGGCATAACTACTAGGGGGTACAGGGAAGGCAATCACTCTGAAGCCCATGGTGAGCATGGTGATCAGGACTCCTAAAATAAGGCCTTAATTAACATTAATGTTAGATTCTATTGGGTGCAGTGGCCCTCGAGAGCATTAATATCTTGAGACATAACAATAGTGAATGCAAGTTACACAGTCATTTTTTCTGTCATATTAATTAAAGGTAAATTTCATCTGTAATTTTTGTTAACTTTGTTACTTATGGTCTCCAGTGCAAAACAATACCCCAATTACTACTGTAACAAAGTAGTGTTGTAAAGAGGGGGCATTATTTTTGGCACTATAGGCATTATTTTTTGCACTGGGGCCTATAAGTCTCTAGTTATGATACTGCTCAACTTTTATGGTATATATTTTCTTCAATTTCAATAAGCAACTACAACAACAAGTGCTCATTAGAAATGAAGAAGTATGGAAACATGGCTAAAATTTCAAAACATACTGTTCCTGACCAGTCCACACAATCCTTATCTGGAGGCCAAAACAAAAACAGCCTGTTTTGAATTCACTGTTTTTGTGATGTCAGAAAAAGCAACACATTTACTTATTCAGCCTAGACCAGTTTAATAGGCATGATACAGGGCAACCAGTCAGAACAGAGCTTATTTACATATATCAGTCTTATAATAACTGTGGTAACTAAAACAGCCTGTTTAATTCTGAGAGATAATGAGAAGTTGGGTGATGTAGAAATGAAATATAACTGGTTTTGGTACATAAACACATATAAACATTAGGAGTCTTCAGGGAGAATAATAAAGTGTAGAAACCTTTAGTTGCCTTATTTTTTCTTTCAATTCAAATCAAAAGACTGCGGTGATGATGAGACCAAGGCACCTGTAGCTAAGGGCTGCAGCCAGTATGAACACTGTGAAAAAAAAACTGACATTGAGTGCTACATTGATAGAGAACATCAGGAAACTCAAAAAATGAGGCTAATTGGATTATAGCGTAGGAGGTTAAAGTGAAGACAGTTTGGCATCTCCAGGTGCTCTGAGTGAAGGGGACGAATATATGTGAGCATGTGTGTACGTGTGCATGTGTAGTTCCTCTAGAGAGGTCACAGTCGCAGTGTGAGGTGTTCACTAGATAATTAAACCCAGAGGGAGCAAACACACAACCCAGACAGGCGACAAGACACAGACACACACACACAAATCATACGCACACATATATGCATACAGTACATTCACTCAACATCACAACACTACCATTTCCATAACAATAAAACTCTCAATTGAGCTGTTCCCCAAATGCAAAAGACAGAAGCAAAAAAAAGTACAAGAAAATAATGTTTCCTTTGTTTTTGCCCCTGGCTTTATCATTTATAATAGACTTTCCTTCCACTGACAAAAGCACGCAGGCAGGGAAGAGAGGTGTCTAAATCAAATCTGATACAGGATGGGGAACGTGGTATGCGTTTATTAGACCACCTCTGTCAGCACTTCCTGATTATTCTTATTTCTTCTTTTTCACCATCTTCTTCTTTGTTAGACAAAATTGCCAAAGCTTCTGCGTTTGTTTATATTGCATTCAAAATGCAAACTGTAGGCAATGCATAAAGAACAGGAAAGTCAAAAGTACATTAAAATATATTAAACTGCAGTCGTACTCATTACGAAACATATATAGTCATGGATATGGATGTAGACTATTAATTGAACGGCACTGATGAAAGATGAAGCTTTCTTCATCAATGTGTTTCTAAGTAAGTATACACAGAGCAGATCTTTAAGTCCTTTCCTTGTACATCCAGCTTGCTGGTGCATAGTTAGAGACTGCAGTTCTTCTTCTGACAGGTTATATTAGCCATCTTCTAGCCCTTCATCAGTGGTCAGTTTCTGACCACAGAGCTGCACTTGGCTGGACATTTTTTGGGTGGCTGCTCATTCACGTCTTAGCAGTGACACAAGAAAAACCAACAGCAAGGCCATGTGTGTGTCTGATGCACTAACACCGCACATTACAATGACAGTGTCACTGCTGTGCTGAGAATGGTCCAACACCCGAATAACATGTGATCAACAGTCCTGTGTTCAGTAACGATGATGAAGAGTACAGGGCAGCTGACATACTGTGCATCACAACAGTGTTGAGGGCAACACAGTACAAAGTAATGTGTTATTTATATTCCTGTAACAAAGTCGTATAACGTTACAGTTTAAATTTCTGTAAACACATTACAGTTACTGACTTTTCTGATGGATATTACTCAAGCGTGTCTGACAGAGTGATAATAAAGTGGATAATTCCACTGATTTTGTCTGCATAATTAAATATTTGAAGTGTAAACAAAGTCAAAGTAGTTTGCTGTGAAACGCTCCATTATAGAGGAACTTATCAATACAGAAATGTTCCTAGCGGTCGTTAATTAAACCAGATGTCCAAAGAATTGAATGCCTCTAAAAGCTACTTCACAGAAAGTTATTACATGAAATAGTTACACATATACTGCCTGATGCCTGAGACGTTGTTTGAGGATAGTTTTGAGATACAGTTTTGGCCTTAAAATTATCCATGGCAGAGAAGTACATGCAGGTAGCTGTAAGGAAAAGTAGTAGCCCCCCCAAGAAATGTATTTTTTACTATTATAAACATTACACATAAAAACTCAGATGAAGGGTCATTTTGGACAGTAAATAAAATGGCTATATTTGCACCACTGACATCACAGTGCCTGGTTCCTATTATCACCATTATAAAGAAAGTTTCTCTACAACATACCATCTCACATCAAACCACTCTGAATGACTCTGCTTACTTCTCAAGGACTGAACCATGCAGAAAATTTGAAAAATCAGTGGAATTTTACTTTAATTAAGCAGGATGCATTTAACTTGTGAACTTCCTCTGTACAGATTATCCATGTTTGTTCTTGTGCGTGTGCTACTCATATCAGCTGAGTCAGTGGGAAGCACCATAAACTTGATGACCAATCTGTTGAAGCATCTAATCATGTTACTATTAAACTGATGGATAAAAACCCCCAAAAGAAAAGTGAACTGCGACGTCACTTAAACAGGCTAGACTTGATTTTCTGTTCAGGAACAGCTCAGTAGGCTTTACGTTTTATTCCTGAAGATTTTAGGCAGCTATGGATAGTTTCTAGGTTTTCAAACAGCATTAGCTGTTCATAATTTTAATCAAGCATAGCTTGCTGTCAATGAAGTGCCTTTTAATATTTACTGTGATTGTTACAGTGAACTTAATGAAAAAGTTTTCCCTTATACTTTCCAGTTGCTGCAAATGTGTATGAGTTTTAGAGAGTAATAGAGAAGTAATGAGATTACTTCTTTTACAAAACAATACGCTAAGTAGTCACACTGCAGTTTGAGAGAAGTAATTAGCAATTTGTAATGGATTACTTTGTTTGAGTGAATAGGCATTTATTGTCTTACATAGTTTACCAGTAAGGCTGGGCCAACACTAGATGATTTTTTGCCCGAGTTTAACCCCGATATGCCCCTTGCGACAAATTTTACAATCTAAAGTGATTTTTTGTGTCAGGAGCTTGATCGGAAGCCGCTGACGGCGCAGATGATCTGGTAGTGTGAGCGGAAAAATAAGTAAATCTTTAGCCCTCTGATCAAACTCTGAAGTGATCGGAGACCCTCAGGTATTAGCAAACATGTTTGATATTTACAACTCACAATGTTCATGAGTCATGTAGTGTGAGAAGGTCAGAGATTTACTCAACGAGTGATTCAAACAACAGCCAATCAGAGAGTTAGAAGAGTGTAGAAACAGGCGAAGAGACATGCATGAACACTGCAGAGTGCAGAGACAGAAACACAAAGAAATAAGAGCTGTTTTCATGTTTATAATGTTGGCTCCAGACGTCAAAACACGCTCTTTACAATTTCAGCTCAGCTGCCAGTTTGTAATGAGATATTTCTCCAGCTCTCACTGTATCAGTGCTTCTGAATCCCATATTAATCCCCGGTTTGCACCTTCACTGCGCGTAAAAGCCCAAACAGATCCAGTCCAGTAAGTATAGCTTTATTTGTGTCATGTGATTTCTGAGGAGATCTGGGAGTCTGAGTTCTTATTCATAGCCCAAACTAGTTATGTGCGCTATACTCTCTCTTGGACTTGTCGTCTAGTGTGAGCGCTCTCACGAAAAAAGACAACAAACAAGTGGTCAACAAAGGACAACAAAAAGATTGGTCAGTGACAATAAAGTGGACAATGAATGTATGTCTTTGTATCTGCGTTAGCAGGTGCGTGAGTTGTTCTTACCTTAACAACGTCCTCATCAGTCGATCGGCACTCCACTGACTCGGTCACATCGGTCACAGCCCCGTCCGTTCCTACAGTAACCACCTTCACCGGTATGGCGACAGTTCTCCCCGTGAGCACGGCAGTGTTGAGGATTTCTGTCTCCTGCACATAAAGGCCAGATCAATCAGGCTGTTTTAATGCAGGATAATTCACTAATCATTATTCAGGACTATTCATCATGCTGTCAGCTCCTACTCCTAGGCACCAACGTTCAATCATCTTATTAACCCAATGAGTCACATCATTCAATTAGAATCATCAACTGTAGAGCCATTCAGAGCGACACAAGAGTGACGCCTTCATAACCTCAAAGCCTATCCTGTGGTTCTAATCTCGGCCTGAACCATTACGACCACACTGAATATACTGAATGTTTATGCTGTTTTAGTGGAAATGAATTTCATTCTAGGTAATGATATACTTTAATCAGGAGAATCGCTGAGGGCCAAATGTACATATGAGGAGGTGCAGAACAAAATGTGCCTTGATGTTGCTGTAATATGCACTTGCAGTGTGTCTGAAATTAACATTCAATTTGCTAAGGCTGCATCTAATCATGCAAACTGCACACAGAACTGCCTACACAGGGTGGCAGTGAAATAGTATAGCCCGCCAAAACATTCTAGAGGAATGTAATTCTACACCGGAAATTGGTGCCATGCACTGTAAATCAAAACACGACTGATAGGTAGGTAGGTAATCAAATGCGTTAGGCCTTCAGTCCAGCCTCTCAAAGCCAAACCAATGAAAGAACGAGCCTGGTTGTATCTACCAAAACACCACAGGGAAACTGGATCATCATTTCACAGTTTTTTTATTATACATTTCAAGATCCTAATTTTACTGTTTCCGACCAAAACTTAACAATAAAATAAAAGTATTACCACAACACATACAGAGTTTAAACACCAAGCAGGGTGAATCTATTAAACAAAAACATTACAGCATTTTTTAGTCTTAAGAAATCATTAAGCCTTTGCTAAAGGCCTAGAAGGCCCTGAGGGATCCCCTCTGCAAATACTCCTTCAGTACATCTTCAAGGGCTGTGCCTCCAACTAGCTGCGATAACTGCTACCATTGTTAAATGAGGTCTCTCAACAATATGCTTTTAAGACACTGCTGCTAATTTCTGTCTGGTTTTTAAGCAGCGGAGAAAATTTCATGGAAACCTGGCTGTCGAAACTTTCGTCAATTAGAAATAATCCCATTACTGACCATGTTAGTAAAACCAATTTAACATGGTGCCACAAACGTGATCATAAGTACACTTGCAGAGTTTTTGGCCAGTGAGGAACCCTTAAGGCCTTCTAGGCCTTCAGAGAAGTCCTAATGATTTCTATGAAATTGAAAATAAATAAATGTCTGTAGGTTTTAGTTTGTTGTTGTTGAATTAGGGTGACCATATGCCTTCTTTTTCCAGGACATGTCCTCTTTTTGAGACCTAAAAATGCATCCAATCAGGATTTTTAAATTGATTAAAATATCTGGGATTTGGCTTTGCTTTCATGTTGACATATGCTTTCTACAGTCAGCCCTGTGCTGCCCTCCTGCCCTCAGTGTCCTGTTTTGTGAAAACCAAAATATGGTCAGCCTAGTTTAGTATAATCATTATATATGTTGGATTTAATCTCTGCATGTACTGTAGTAATTCCCTTAATTCATTGTAAAGTTTTGGTTGGAAAAAAAAGTTACATTCAAAACTGTTCACAAATGTATATTAAGAAGCAAATCATATATATGGGAATTCAATCTTACAGTATTTTATATATTTATATATATTTATATTATATCTCAAAATCCCAAGCAATTCATGACAATGCACACAGCTGAGACATAAATGCAGAATCAAAATAAGTTACAGTATAGGCAACTACCATGTGTAAAATAAAAGGGAAAAAAAAACTAAAGTGCAACGTCCTGGAAGTTTTAGTAGCCCTACATGTCCTGCTGTTACTACTAATAAACAGCCACGTGTTTAACTCGGTCGCCTCTTTATTTGCCGCCATCACTGCAGCATTTTATTTGGCCAGTTTTCATCTACAGTCACAGGTGGGACTGTATATCTATAATGTAGATAAAATGTGTCTATCTGGGATTTTTCTTGAACTGCAGAGATGCAAAAAAGTCAATTAATGAATAAATCACTCACGGTTGTAATATGGTTTGTAATATGAATAAATGTAATGCTAGGTAATGCTAAGGAACTTGTTATACTCTTACAGTCTGTTTCTGTAATATGGTCCCAGGAGCTGAACTGAAGGCCTGCCATGTCAGAATAACCATTAACATAAATAGGAACTGAAAATGGAATCAACCAATCATGTTTTCATTTCCAGTGGGTGGGACCAATTTTGTGAGATAAAATGTCAGTCTAAGCACTAAGAACTATGGTAGTCTAGATACACCTGTGAATATGAGTGGTAGCCTGACGGAATACAGCGGCAACCCTGTATCAGGGTTCTGAAACATTCACTGAGTGCGTTTATATGTACTTAATAGTCCGATAATTGCAGAAAATCAGATTTTGTCAGTAATCCGATCAAAGTGTTTATATGCACTTGAGTAATCAGATAATGTGAAACTCCAGGTCTATATGAGTCAGTTATCAGATTTCTGCTTTACAACCAGCCAATAAACTCACAGAAGAAGACGTGGCGTAAACGCAATGTAAAACTCAAACTTCATGCTGCGGCTTTTTTTTTTTTAAACATAGCCCCACCTGAAAATATGAACATACATTATCTACAAGATGAAGAATATGTAAATCCTTCATTTCATCAAGTGTGTATTTGGTTTCAGTGCCGCTCTAAAAGTGTTTTGCTGCGTCTCACAGCAACACTGCTTGCTTATGTCTGGTACCGCGGTCTGTTTCACACATGCGCAGACTGAGAAAGTGGAAAGAAATCAGAGTAAGAGTTTACATGTCCTGAGAAATCTGATTACTGAACTAAAATCCAGCTCAATTTATCAGATTTCTAGACCTTACTTCCATCAAAGAAATTGGAGTATCCTGTTTACATGACCATTTGAATAATCAGATAACTGCAGAAATCTGATTATGACTGGATTGGAAATGCACACACTGTAAAACTAGTACAAAGTAAAATACAGGTTAATATATCTGTTACAAGCTTCAAATTTCAGTCAAAAAATGTAAGACTCATGAGAATCATAAGAATCATCAGCTATCATACTACCAAAAGCCCATAAGAGTGCTAGCACCACTTTTCCCCTCATTTTCAAATAAGTATTTATAATTCTGACCCAAACTGAAGGCCTTAGTTCATGGTTCACCACTGGTTTTCAGTAACCCTCATTGACTGACTTACCAGCAGTGAGGATTATCTTCAGGGATGCCTCAGGAAGATTATAATGAACTTAATTAAAGCACTTAAATGCCTTTTTATCAGATAACATCCATTTCAATTTATCACAGCGGTTAAATATGAGCATAATAAACATGAATTAAGCTACAGGCCCACGATCATAAATATAATGTAGTACAACTCACCAACATCATTTTTCCTCATCATTCCAGACAACCGCTATTGTGTAACCTTGTATCTAAAAATAAAAGCTTATCTTGAGTTCTAGCTAATGCTCAAACAAAGTGAGCGTGAGAAAATTAGATCAATTAAGCTTGACTCGTGTAATCCTCCGCTCTCTATGGCTGCCAGCTCGGGCTAGAAGACTGCACACAACTCCGCTCATCACAGCTTATTTTCAATAAAGCACTTTAAGAAGGCTAAAGCATTGAGAGGCAAAGCAAGGGCCCCCATCAGCCTTTTGTTCCTCACAGGAGGCTCTTTTCTTCCCTTTTTGTTATTGCCCATGCCAGTCTTCTTTGGAGAAAACAGATAACATTATTTAATCCCGAACTGTGGATAATGGAATTTCAAGCTTGTTAATGGAACTGAGGTTTTCCTTTTTCTCTTTATGATGGCACTTCCAGCTTGTGATTCTTATTTCAATCATTTTCCCTTGGTTCTCCCTACAATGCAGAGGGGAAGATGGGCGCACGCCTTTCTTTCCCTGTCTGACTTTAAGCTGATCGTTTTTTTCCTATCTAAGGCCTGCTGTAGAGTCTAGTCTTGAAGCGGAATTTGAATATATAATTTCCCTCGAATCCAAAATTATGGAAATGCAGTAGCCTTGCAGCCTTGGTGCTAAGAGCTTGGTATTCAAGCGTAATGCTGAGACACTTTGACAGAGAGTTATCGTCCGTGTTTGATTTGCTGTCAAAACATTAATTTTTTGGGACCTGGAAATTGACGCTGGTAAATATTCTACAAAACGGGGTGGATGAAGCGTTCACCATTTTCCTCTCTCACTCTCTTTTCCCTTTTCCATCTGTACTCCCACCCTTATTCTTTCTGCCTAAATAAATTCAAAGAATTCCGCCCCACTTTTCATCACACATGCTGCTTTCAAACGTCTGTCAGCGCGGCCATTCACAGTTTGTTAAAAATGAACAATGTAATTTTCAGTCAAGCCTGAAGATTAACCGACAAATTAAGAAAAGCTGTCTCGAGGGAGGGAGGACGGAAAGCCTGTCAGCGTGATGCCACTGCGCTTGATGAGAGGAAATGCGCTGTAAAAGCTTCTTCTTCTTCCAGTTTAGCAGGCAGAAAGATTATCATAGACCTACACTACCACTCAAAAGTTTGGATACACCTTCTTATAAAAGTAAATATACAGTACTTTGCAAATGTCAGAGACCACTCTATATTTACTTCATTTTCAATCAAAACAGCCAATAAGTACAAGTTATTCATTCTGTATTCATTTTTCAGGCAAATTTTTAGAGCAGATATGATAAGCACTTGCATAAAAAAGTCTAAAGAAAAGTATAAAAAACAACAGTTTCCAGCACTAAAAAAATGATTACGATACATTGCCCTAAATGACCATGGAAGAACTGGTAGATCACCAAAGGTATCATCATCTGATGAACTGAACTTAAAGCTTTCGTCTCTGAGAGAAACTCAAGCTCCACTCTTGATTCAGGTCTGAAAAAATCCACAGGTATTTCTGTCCATCCTTCCACTGAGAAAATGACTCAACACTATGGGTCTGGAAGGATCTGTAGCTGTAGAACAACA